TACCCTAAAGTTTTCTGCATCAATGTCTGTGACTTTGAACATATTTTTTCATGAAATGTGTTTGGTTCAGAAAACAATTCGTGAATACTCTTTGTATGAAAATGTCTTGTTGAGTAAAATGACATCAAGCATGCAAGCAGAATTTAACAAGTATTGGAGTGTAACTACAAGTGAGAATATGAACTTATTGTTATATGTTGCAGTTGTTTTTGCCCCTAGATATAAGTTAAATTATGTGAGTTATTGCTTTCATGAATTTTTGGAGGAAGAAAATGCAATTTTGTGGACAAATAAGGTTGAAGCTAAGCAGCATTACGTCGATTGTGGGATGACTATTATACACGAATGTCAATGCTAAAGGAACACCTTTCTCAAACACAATCATCCACACCCATAGAGGTATCGACTTGTCAAAGTGAAATATCATCTATCTCTTCTAGTACATCTAGTGGAATTGGAATTTATAAGGTACGTGCTTCTGTTCACGATAGATATAAACAAAGTAAGAAAACAGATCCAGATGATGGAAAAACAGAGGTGACTCGTTATCTAGATGAGGCTTGTGCTGAAGTTGATGATTTTGATTTATTAAACTGGTGGAAGGTAAAATCTAATGGATATAAGATTATTAGTCAAGTAGCTAGGGACATCTACAACATTTTTATATCGACTGTTCTATCTGAGTCAGCTTTTAGTATTGGAGGACAGGTGTTGGATTCTTTTAGGAGCTCATTAACTTCTCAAACTGCGGAGGCACTCATTTGTGCAAAAAATTAACTTCAATCAAAACCTCTTGATGATATGAGTGAGAAATTGATGGAGTAGAAGAAATTGACCAAGGTAAGAAGTAGTGTCATTATAATATTTATTTGAAAATTTGTTTATTCTATTATGAGCCTTAATGAACTAATTGTTTTTCTTTCTTATTTAGTACTTAAGCATATATAAGGAGATGGAAGCTACCTTTAAAAACTCGAAATTTGATTATGTGGTTCTAACTTCTACTCTAAAAATTTTGTTCATCTATATTTCATTTACATGAATTTTATTTTACGTAAAATATTAATTAATAGTTATTGTTTCTTTTGTAGAGTTTTAAAGTCTAGTGATGGAAATCAAGATTCAGCGAATGACAATAGACTTGAAAAGATTTAGTATTTTTTTTGTTAGAATTTTGTAAATGTCAATATTGGAATGTTTTAATTAGTTAAAATGATAGAATTTCTAAGCATTACTTTTAAGCTTCAAAAGTACATGTGAACGTTAACTTTTACCTTTCGATGCAAAAGTATATAGGTTTTGTTGAAAATAATTTGAGGCGATCACAAATCCATAGTTTTTTTTTTTTTTTTTACTACTTGGAATTAAGTAAGTAAGTAGGTAGGTAGGTAGGTAGTGTCATTTAAAAGAAAAAAAAAAGCCCCCTATCCGAAAACCGAACCAAATCGGGATATTTACACCCCTAAGTATATGTGTATATTTATCACACATTATCCTTTAGAGATGTATACAACCCACAAAGTTGGACAAGATTTGGACCCAGTAAACATATTTACCCCTCCACTAGGAGTTTGAACATTTAGATTTTAAATTTTGAAGGTTATAAAAAACTATTAAATTCCAAAATCTACATTAACAAATTTTTAATAATTTTTTATTTTTCTCCTCTCAAAACTTTATTTCAAAATAAAGAGCATCAATCTTTAAATTAGATTTTCGTTGTTTAAATTTCATTTTTCATTGTTATTAGTTATGGTTGATTCCCCAATTATGGTATGTTGTTTTTGCAAGTAGTTGTATAAAATAAATCCCTAAAATTAAATACATGTACCTAATTTATTAAGGGGTATATTTGTCTAAAATATTATTTAACATTCTAAAAAAGAATGACACTGGGTCATTTGTACAATATCTGATATGTTTGACATTTTTTAAAACACATTATTTATTTTGGTCATTCCTACAGCAGCCCTTTTTCCGTTGGGTATCTACCTGTGTATACCTTGTAGAATAAATATTTAATTACATATCGCACGTCTAAAAAATCAGTAAAATTGTCAATATGAACATAATTGATCAGTGGTTAAGACATCTTACTCCTATTTTAGAGGTGAGAAGTTCAATCTCTTATCATCATATTGTTGTACTAAAAAAGAAAAAGTTAGTAGAGTACATTTAGGTATTCGGCGACTGTATGATAAAAGGTAAAGACATAAGTTGTTGAACAAAAAAAACACAATAATAATTGTAAATATTTTACTACAAAATATGTAATGGTAAATATTTTATGGTACAGATCTAACAATTTCTTTTTTTCTTGTATATTTTATTTAACGGATCTAATCAACTATATTAAACATAAATTTAGATGTTTCAACTTTTGTCAAGTTGTCAAAGCGAACATAGCTTAGCGGTAATTGACATATATCTCCAACCAATAAGTTGTAAGTTCGATCCCTTACCCTCACATATTGTACTAAAAATAAATAAATAAACTTTTGTCAAGTTATTGAACCACAAATGATTCTTTACGAGCTAGCAAAGAGACTTTAGACCGGTAAATTGTGAGCTAATTAATCTAAAGTTAATTAATTAAACTATTTAACAAATTAATTCTCAGCTAGGTTACTTCATTAAAAATCTGGAATTGTTCTACTCCACAGGTATAGAATAAGTTACATGAAAAAGGTACTAACTATATATTCTTAAATATTACCTTTAATATTTTCAAAAAAAAATATTACATTTAATTTAGTAACTGATGGTTCAAATTAGCTTTGGTCATGTGTTTGAAGAAAACTGACAATCAACTTAGCTGGGTCATTTTATACATCGACCCTTAGACATAATCAAACATCTCTCTAGTTTAGCCAACATGAACATAGTTTAATAGTAAGATATTTTGTTCTTCTTTAGAGGTTAGATGTTCAATCTTCCATCTGTTATACTAAAAAAAGAATCAAGCGTTAGATCTTCAGCTCACCAACATGTACCTTATATGACGTCTAGGATAAAGGGAATATAACACGAACCGCTGAATTTTTTTCTTGTAATTTCATTGTTTCTCAATGTTATTTGTTTTTAGTACATATTAAGTAGGGGTATGTTAGTTTTTGTCTTTAAGGTTTAGTTGGGAGACTATCTAAAGTCTTGCATTGTTTTGACGGATTAAATTTGATGAACGAATTTTAGCCTTTGAATTTTTTCCTCTTCAAAGAGTTTCTTCAACTCTTTTGCAATTTCATGTCATGAATTGCTCGCCAAGAACATTCAAGTAGAATTGATCAATCGACTCTCGGGCCAAGAAACTTATTCCCCGTCTTGAAAGTTTTGACCTTAAGGTGATCCGTGTCTAACCAACACCTTCGAGTTGAAATCGAATTGATTTTAAGGTTTTAGTATTTGTGAATTAGGAGTTTATATATCGTAATTAAGAGTTCCTTATTTCAATTTACTAGAGGGTTTTCATATGACTAGTATGAAATACGTGCGGTGCACATGAAACTTCAAAGTTTTATTTTAAAGTATAAAAACGTAAAAATTAATTAAATAGTTAAAATTTATAATATAATTGGGCTCTTTTATATCTCAACATTTACCTCACTAAGTTTTTTTGTATTTTCATATTTATCTCATAAAATCGACTTCTCAATAATTCTCATCACTCACTAGGGATGGCAACGGGCGGGGCCGAGAGGGCCATTCCCATCCCCGCCCCCGTCCTCAAAATTTTGGGGGCGAGGACGGGGCGGGGATTCTCCGAACGGGGACGGGTTCCCCCGTTATAAATATATTTTTTTAATTTTTTAATTTTATAAATTAATTTGTGTTATTATTAGTATAAAAAGTGAACAAAAAGTTGCTAAATGACGTGTTAGCTTCAGTTATTCTTTTTTAAAAAGAATTAGAAAGTATTTATAAAATTAATATACATTAATATTATTATATAAAAAATTAAACGGGGCGGGGTTGGGGACGGGGACGAGGTGGGGGGACCGATCCCTGTCCCCACCCAGTCCCCGTCGGGGAACTCGATTCGGATCCCCGGTTGTCCCCGGTCAAACTGGGGAACCTCGACCCGATCGGGGCGGGTAGCCGCGGGGATTGGGTCCCGCGGATATTTTTGCCATCCCTATCACTCACTGATTCGATTTATATGACTAAAAAAAATTGAGAAGTGTCGATTACTTGAAAATTTCTCATAAATAGAACATAACAAGCAAGAATAAACAACTTAACACATATTCATCGATTACTTTTTTTTTTTGGAAAAGAAAACACATATTCAGGTATTTTTCATCATTTCTTGTTCCTAAACATTAGGATGCATAAAAGAAAATAAAATTTCGTTTTGATTTTTGATTTGAGTCATTAAAAAAGAGAATGACATAGAAGGGGAAAAAAGGCAAGTATGTCAATCTTGTATAAGTTTTTTTGAATAAATTACCACTAGTAGAAATTCGGTTTTTCGTAATGTTTTCTAAACGTCATGAAAAAAGATTTCGTAACGTTTGTGACGTTGTCACCTATTTGCCCATCACGAAAGATATACGTGACGTTTAAAAAACGTCACGAAAATTAGCACACGTGATGGTTAAAGTCTGTCATGCAAAATATAAGCTTCCACGACGTTCTTTAAACTTCATGAAAAACACGATTAAGACTTTTCGTGACGTTTAAAAAACGTCACCGTAAATGAGTAACCATGACGACATTTGATTTTGTGACGGTTACACAACGTCACAAAAAGACTTTAAGTAGCAAGAAAAGGTCACGTGACATCCTTTCGTGGCGTTTTTTAAACGTCACGGAAAAAAGATTTCATGATGCTTAAAAATCATCACAAAACACTTTTGTGACGATTTAAAAACGTGACGAATTATTTTATTTTGTGACGATAAAAAAAATCACAGATAATGTATTTGATTTTGCTTGCAGACGTCGCGTAATATTTAAATATCATATAATTAAATTGTCGATCGAAATCGCAAATACATTAATTTAGATAACAAAAGTATTCTCGGACTTGCTAGTACATTATATTAAACATTTTCAAATTTCTACAAATACAAATTACAGAATTAAACAAGTCTCACACACCAACCTCAACAAAGAAACTCATCCATCAATTAGTTGCATCCCTAATTGTCGACTTCTTTGGGTTCGGAAAGATCTAATGAAAAAAATATTACCCAAGTTAGATAAATGAATAACCAAAGATAGATAAGGGAAGAAAGTTAAAAGAAAGAGTCTATCTATTAAAAAGTGGAAAGGATCGTGAAGATAATTATAGATTTGACATTGTACAAGAAAAAATTCAATTAACATTCTTAAAAAAACGCACTAGGAGCCTATCACAATAGTAATCTTTGCAAATACAAATCCCAACAGAACAAAATTAATTAGACAAAAATCAACCTACGTACACTTCTTCTACATCTGTTAGTAATATATCATAAAATATTAGAATTAAACAAGTATCACAATTATTGAAAACGTACATTAATCTTCTACAACACTACATCATAGTTTTCTTTATCAACTTACTCAATAATCTGATAAGAATAACCAACATAACGATCAAACAAAGATCCCAACAAAACAAGCACGATTAAAACCTGACAGCAAACACAAATGATTCTTTAAGTCAAATTTATCCATTGTTAGAGCAACTTTGCTTCACGAAACCAAAACGTAAATTCACCAAATTGTTCATAATTTGAATGCTTCACAAACTATCTAAGCTTCAAATTTATCCATTATTATATGTAAGCAAAATGTAAAATCAATGGACAATAAGAAAGGAAGAAATGTAGGACTTCTACACAAACTGTACCATGCAAGTTGCTATTTTTTCATCTTGTTCTTGAAGAAGATTATGCTTGTCCCAAACCTGCAAAACGGTTATAGAAGAAGAGCATTATTAAATAATTTATTTGTGAAAAGCGTTCTTAGCCTGACAAATCAAGCGTGAAGAAAAAAACAAAAAAAATGCTTTGTTGTTGTCTAATTTAATCGATTTCAACTCAATTACATCTAACAGTAAAAAAAAATTAAACAATACAAATCAATCACTTTTGACATATTATAAATGAATATTATAAGGTCCAACTCCTAATTCAATCTCAAAAACCTAAAAAACCAAAAGCCCACGATTAAAGGTCTGAAATCATAAGTATCTAGCAAAGACCAAAACAAGGAGGAGCATGTGAAAAACTGTTAAGAAGTTGAAATCAAAATTGAAGTACCTATAAAAATTTGCACTTAAAAGAGACATTTATCGAACACAAATAATTTTGTCAAAGGGCCACTTCCACCCTATTCCACAAAAGCAGCAAACTAACAATGCAAGAGGTAAAAACCAATAAGGTAGTCTCAACTTTTCTAACTACTCGACAGCAACTAGGGGTGTTCAAAATAATCGACAACCAGAAGAACCTGAGCAACCCAACCCGAACCGTAAGGGTTGGGTTAGGTTAGATAAAGAACTAGGTTGGATTGGGTTAAATTTTAGGTGAACAGAATCATTCGGTTCTGTTCTGGGTTCGATCAACAAAAATTCGAACCGAACCAAAATTATACCTTTTTAATTATTATGATTATTATTATTATTATTATTATTATTATTATTTTATATATATATGTTTATTTATTTATTTATGTTTTAGGGTTTCCTCTCAAATTTGTGCGCCTCCCTTCACTTCCCCTCTTTCCATTGTGCGCCTCTTCTCCCCTCCTCCTCCCACAGATCCTATTGCTGTAGGTCGTCGTCCGTCATCCTACGCCAGAGATCATCGCCTGTCGCTGTCGTATGTCGGTAGTCGCCGTCGTCTGTCGTTGATTGCCGCCATCTCTTTGTCTCAGTAGCTTTTGTAACTATTGTTTGAATGTAAAAGTTGGGATTTTTTTTTATAAATGTCTGAGTAGTTTTTCTCTCCCTTCTTCCTTCTGTTTGTTTAGATCTGTAATTTGAAATTAAGAGCAATTGATTTGTTATAGATTGGAACTTGTAATGCTTAATTTGTTTTGATTTAAAATTTTGCCCTTGATTTAAAATTTTGCCCTTGATTTGTTTGGATCTCGAACTTGTAAATTGTAATGCTCTTGATTTGTTTTGATTTATTTCTAAAAAAAGAAAGATTTGTTTTGATATGAAACTTTGCCCTTGATTTGTTTATTTGGATCTAGAATTTGAAATTAAGAGGAACCCGGTGACCCAACCCAACCCAACCCGAAAATTTTGGGTTGGGTTGGGTTGGGTTGGCTATTTTGTTCAGTTCTGTCGGTTCCCTGATATGATTAACCCAAAAATTTGGGTTGGTCCAAAAAACTTCCCTAACCCGACCTAACCCAACCCGTGAACATCCCTAGCATCAACCGTACCCCAAAACTCGACAAGCCTGAATCTAACCTTTATTGGTACAAAGGTGAAAGTACAATGACCAAAATAAACGTTTTGAAAGTAAAAAACCAAAATAAATAAAAGTCAAAATTACATGGTTTAAACTGGTATTTAAACCTTTCGTGGATTATTGAATGGTTGATGATTTCGACCTCACTATTTGCTCAAAGGTGAGACGTTTTTTTTATTAAGATTATTATTTTTGAAACTTATTTGTAAAATATATTAATAAGTCACTAAACTCAAACTCAACTACAAATAAAATAAACAAATTAAATGCAAAAGTAAGCATGGGTCTCATCCAACACAAACATAGTATTGCTTAAATTAACAGTAAATTATAAAAAGATTGTAGATAAGCGGTGGTCTAAAGAAAAATAATGCAAAACTTGAGAGAAAAAGATATATGAGAGTACCCTTGAAACATGTTGCCTTTAATGTCCAAAGATCATGGAACTCTCGTAAAAAACAAATAAAAAATTAAAGCATCAATAAAACATTGTTGACCATAGGCCACATAACTACTTTTCTTTTTAGTTATGAGATGGAAGCTCACTTGTCTTCGCAATCATCTTTACACACTACAACAAATTCTTGACACGAATTATCTTCCTCCAGTCATGCTGCGTTTACTCAATTCTTATTATAAATCTGTGAAGAAATTTGTAGAGATTCAGTTTAAATGCTTCCAGATCTCAATTCACTAAAGAACACAAAACACTTGAAACATTGAAGATTTAACCAAATCGTTTATCATTTACATTCAGATTACTTGAAGGAGAAAAAAACTTACAATGGATGTATAGCATCTTCCATCTGCTAGAAGTTGCAGCGTATCCAAATCAATGAAACCATCAAATTGAAGTAGAAAAAATTTGCAGACAAGGTATTAGCAAAAACATGTTCCTATTGAGCATGATATTTGGGCAAACAGAAGTTATTGTCGACCAAATGGAGATCAATCTCAGTGTACCAATAAATAAATTTAAAAATTCCATTGAAGAAATGCATGAGATATAAATCAACTTATGTTGTCAGAATTAAAAAATCAAAACTTGTTAGGAAATAAAGATCACCAATGAATGTTTACGTATTAATTTAGCATAAAGATCCAGACTGCATTTAATAATCTTAGGGGAGTATAAGGAGATATGGAGAACAAAGATGCAACGAAAAATAACCAATGGGTTATGACTGGACCAAAACCAAAAGAAAATATCAGTGAAACATTTGCAGCAAACCTACTCAATTGAAAGTATAGAATACAAATTACAAACTAACTAGAGGTGCCAACTTCCCTATTATTATACGGCTTTTTATAACATTTACAATAGTCATTGAATTTAGAATATATAAACCATCTTAATTATCAATCTGTAAATCATAATAAAAATCATTTTTTCTTAAAGAGTTTTGTCATCAACTAAATGACATTGTAGGACAACCAAATATCTAGGAGCTAGAGCTGGTGACTGGACATGCTTTAGACTAATCTCACCAAACAAGACAACTTCTCCAACAAGCACAAGGATATAGTTGTACCTTCGATTGTCTCACGGGCTTTTCGTCGAACACCTTGAGGGCACTTTTTTATTTGACCACCTGTAAATGATTGGATTATGATTTAAAATCCTTGGGGCTCCATCATTCTCATTTAAAATCTAAATCCTCTAAGTCTTCTAACATATCCGACAAGGCATCCATATCCACAAAAATATAATTTTGGAATACATCACCGATAATGACCTCACAAACCTCAAAAAATTCCCAAAAATCCGAAAATGGGTTTTGAACAAAAATTGTGAGAAGTTGTTTTTTCACCTACTATCTCTATCTTACATCATGTTTGCTAAAGCAAGAACCAGCTCAGAAACTTAGAAAACGGAACAACTAAGCGAGATTCAAAAAATTCCTCAAACCCATCAAAGATCTTAGGTCTATCAGAAATGGAAAACATAAAAATCCCCAAAAATTGCAACTAAAAATAAAAAAGCAACATAATACCTCAAACTGAGAGAAGAATAAGAGAGATCCAACCGAGTGAGCCAGAAGCCGTGCGGCCGCACATCTTGCAATAGTAGGTTGTTGCCACTGTCGGTGCGAGGCGTAGGTTGAGTAACGAGAGTGAGCGAGATGGTGATGGCTAGTGAAAGGGGAGAGAAATGAGGGAGAAGGTAGTCGAATGGGGAGAGAAATTGGGATGAAAACACAGGGGAGAGAGAAAGAAAGATAGGGTTTTAATTTCCTATTTCTTTCTTCTTTTTTTTCTAATTTATAAATTCAAACAAAATTACTAATTTTTCCCTCAATATTTTCAATTTCTAAGTCTTAATTAAATATTTTTGGATTGAAGGAAAAAAATTATCAATCATTTTAGTATATTCAAATATATAGATAAAATTACAGAGTAAAAAGTAGATTTTCCATTGTCTGTAGTTATTAATCATATCAAATTTTATTATTTAAATATTTTCTCAAAATCTAGAAATTTAATTTACATAAACGAACCAGAACAAAATTAAAACTAAATAACTCAACTCAATGTATCTTGATAGCTCAGCAGTGATGAGTCATCATAATGACTCACACCTAACTCACACATGTAAGTGACGATAACTTGGATCTTCGTGGAGATCGAGGCGAACTACTGGAGATGGCCGAGACACATATTGATGTTTTTAAGTTTCATGAAATCTCGAAATTTTATGACCTTTTATGATATTAAAAAATCATCATAAAGTATAAAAAATCTGCATCTATAAATATCTGTCTTGGTAATTACTTTTAATTTTTTGTTTTTAAAAAGTTAGAAATTTGAAAATATATATTAGAGAGAGAGAATTCTATATAGAGTATAGATGATAATGGTGTGATGTGGGAGTAAGGATGTCGTCTCTCATTCATTCGTGCTCGTGAAAACTGTCTAAGGTTCTATCGGAAGCCAACCTATAAAATGAGACCTCCTACCTCATTTTTGGGTACGTAAAACTATATCTTTCACTTGCATTTGTCTCAGCTTGTCCATAGAGTCAGTTCGTCGTTACTGACCTTCACAGGCTTGGTCAAATTCTTCATGAAATAGTAATTTTAACTTAAAACATGTGACAGTACAAGTGGGATAAATACATGAGACTCATTTGAAGCTGAACAAACCAACAAAAATTCATAATAACCAGAGAACATAAGACAAAATCACTTCATCCATAAACAGAAAGATCGAAATGGAAAACATATGTGTAAAACCTTTTGTGATGTTTTTTAAGTTTAATAAAATCTCGAAATTTTATGACTCTTTCGTGACGTCTCATCACTAAAAATATAGTTTTTCAACTCACGAAAAGCAAAAACATCCAGTTTTCTCGCAAAAAACGAGCCTCATATTTTCATGAAGTTTCTTAAATATCACAATAAGTTTAGATTTCCAAATTTTTGTGATGTTTTTTAAATGTCACAAAAAGCAAAAACAATATGGGTTTCCCGCAAAAATGAGCCTCATCTTTTTGTAACGATTCTTAAACATCACGAAAAATAACTTTTCGTGACGTTTTTCAAACATCATGACAAAGCTAGAAATCTAAAGGACTCCGTCTTTTCCCGCCAAAAACGCGCCTCTTCATTTTGTGACATTTATAAAAACATCATGGAAAAACGTGTTTTCTTTCAACTTTTTGTGACGATTAGAAGTCATGAAAAGTCAAAAATTCAGAACACTCCGTCTTTGCCCGCCAAAAACGCGCCTCACCCTTTTTTGACGTTTTTTAAACGTCATGAAAAACAAACTTTTTGCCAAACTTTTCGTGACGTTTTTTAATCGTCACGAAAAGTCAAAAATCAGGAAATCTTCATTTTTTCCCGCCAAAAACGCGTTTTTTTTACTTTTCGTGACGTTTTCTAATAATTTTCAACAGTATTTTACTGTTCATGAGCGTCACAAAAACTCAATATTGCATTGAAAGAAAAACTAAAAATTAAACATTAGATCAAACAATCTAATTAAAATATAAGAAAACACCAAACATTGACAAAAGAAGGAAAACATACCGAAGGATAAARAATGCTCAGAGTTTTGGTGAGAAAAAAGTTGAGATAAAAAGTTAGGAAAAACTCTTTATATAGTTGTAGAAAATAAATAATTATAAAACTTTTGAAATTACTTATTAATTATAATTAAAAATAAGTTATAATTCTCTAAATTAATTCATACAAACAAAGAGACAATACTATACATATTCTTACTCTTTACATTCCAACATTTGACATGATTAAATAATAAAAAATAAAGTGGAATTAAGAGGAAAAAAAAAAGAAAAAAGAAAAAAAAGAGCTAAATGGGAGGGAGTGGTGTGTGGGAAAAAGAGACCGAGAGAATGAGAGAGAAAATTCTATATTTAAACGACATAATTACCCCAAAATAACTATAAAAATGTTTAAATTAAAAGAGCGAAATAAGGAGAAATTTTTTTTCCTTACAACCCCTTTTATATATAGTATAGATGATGTCAAATGAGCATATAATCTATATATGGCAAACCACTGAATGCTCAATTTAAGTTACCTCTATTTGAACGAAGTAACATGTATTGTGTCTCGAGATGATAATTGCACTGTCTTATACCACCATTGCATGACAATTAAGACAACATGTTACTTAAACAATAACTAAGCAAGCTAAGGTGCACATTTGCATCTGCATCAATGTGTTTGGTCACCTCAACCTAGTACCATAACTACATACCAAAAAATCCTTATTAAACAATTATTCTCGCTTCTATTGGGACTTATCAGTTTTACCATAATGGACAATTCTCAATGAAATGATTGGCAGAAGCACCATAACCCACGATCATCGTATATCTAAGAGTATATTGCATACATTCACTTTTCAACACCTTCAGTTGTAATTAAGTGCTTCATATCATGATTGCATGTTACACTTTATAAAATATACTATCATTCATATGAACTCCCTTGAGTGATAGCTGTTGGGAATGCAACTAAAGTTCCATATTGGCTAGATAAGAGAAGATCGTTGGTATATATCTGAGGGACAACATCTCTGTTGGTATGAGGCATTTTGAGTGATTCTAAAAGCAAAGTTGTGAGAATTATGCCTAAAAGCGGACAATATCATATCGTTGTGGAAATGTGGAGAATTCCTTGTCTAGCAGTGTTTTCGAGGCGTAAGGCGCACCACAAGGCGACATGCCCTTTGATCGCCTTGAGGCAAGAGGCGATACAAAGACGACGCCCGGGTGAAGCGAGGTACACCTTAGTAAATAAATAAAAAGTATATATATAGTGCATAAATTTATATAGTAAACCTTTAAAAAATCAATACCAAAATAGTGTCATAGTAAATGTCAACAAGTTACATAAAACAACCAAATTCTATAAGTTTAGTTTCAAATAAAGACAAGCAACATTAAGAAAGACTAGAGTCTAGAATAGAACAAAAGTAAATATAAGTAATCAAAGATCATCATCCTTATCTAAATCTAAATTCCCTTCATCTTGGTCGTTCTCACAGTCTTCCTTTTCCAATTCTTCTTGTTTGGTGTCATCATCATCATCACTAACCACCACTGGAATTGATTTTCGAACTCTAGAAGTTGTGGGAGTGGGAGTAGCAAGTGACTTTCCTTTAGATCTTGCTAATGTAGATCTAGTTTGCCTTATGGGCTCTCCAACACCACTAGCCTCGACTACATCTCCCCATGTGAGGTCATCATCATAAAAAACAAACTCATTTTCTTCTTCGAGTGTTCCAATCAACCATTCATTACTTTCATCAATATGATCCAAAGAAATCGGATCAAGTTGGTCCTATAGAGTTTAACGCTCTTTAAGTGCTTGGTTATATTTTACATAAACCAAGTCATTAAGACGCTTTTGCTCTAACTAGTTCCTCTTCTTAGAATGAATCTACAAAATTATTAACGAATTTAGAGTCAAAAGTGGATTTTTAAATCTTCAATTAACAATGGAAAAACCAAACTATTCTCACTTACGTGTTCAAAAACACTCCGATTTGCTCATAGCCAGAAGCGCTGCACATTAAATTAAGGGCTCTCATGGCTAACTTTCGTAAAATTGGAGCGTCGACACCATAAAGAGACCACCATGTAGTTGTGCACATATTAAACAAATGATTTAGACTTTTAGTAGTTCAAACTTAAATATGTCTATTAAAACTAAAAGTAATAAATAATGTCATTACCTGATGTTTTAACACCCCTCGTCCTTACTGCTACAGTACTTCCAAACATGTCTTCGCTTCATTGTACAATTCTAATTCAATTGTACATTGAACTTCGTCATCGATAGATGGTATTAATCATTCCACAACTTTGATCAGATCATCCATGACCTCAAGATGTTGCATAACTCTCTCTTTGTTGTCACAGAAAAGAAATGGACTCAAATAATATTTGGTTGCATGTAAAGGTCGATGAAGTTGGCAATCCCACCTTTTATCAATAATCTCCCAAATCGGTCTATACTTCGCCTCATTTTCATTGAAACCACTCTTAATCGCCTCTTTTGTCCTATCTATAGCTTCATAAATATAACCCATAGCCAGTTTATCACCATCAACAAGCCTCAACACACGAACTAAAGGACCCAATGCCTTCAAAGTATACACAACCGAATTCCAAAAGGACAGCATCTAACGGTTTCAGCTGCTCTCTTCCCTTTTGAGTCCTTCGTCCATTTAAAAGTGGTCCACTTCTCAGAAATAAACATCTTCCTCAAATTAGCTTTATTTTTGTGAAAACTGGCTAGGATTAAAAATGAAGTTGCAAAGTGAGTCGCTGCTGGTCTTACCAATTCATGTTGATTAGTAAATTCTCCCATCAAGTTTAGCACATATAAGTGGTTGTAAATAAAACCACTAAGTGCCACAGCCTTTCTAAGATACCTTTTAACCTAATCAATCTTTCCAATATCCTCCAAAATTAAATCTAAACAATGAGCTGCACATGGTGTCCAATATAGATGAGATCGTTTGACTTCTAAAAGTTTGCCAGCTAGGACGTAGTTTGAGGTATTATCTGTCACAATTTAGACAACATTTTCTTCTCCAATCTTCTCTATAATGCCATCTAAGAGTTGAAAAATCTTTTCTCCAATTTTTATGCCTGAAGATGCATCGATGGATTCCAAAAATATTGTTCCAATAGATGAATGAACCAAAAAGTTGATTAGTGTCATATCTCTCCTATCAGT